AAGAGGGTTGAAGTAGTCAAAACGCACAGTGTAGACGTCTTTGGTGACAGCACTAAAAGGCCAGAGTTCAGTGAAGAAGAACTGTACTGATTCAGGCAAGTGATGCCTAACTTCTATATTATGGATGTCTTGTTGCTCTAATTCATGCATCAGGGAATAATAAAATCCTTATTACCTGAACTTTATCTGATGTCTAGATGTACTGAATCCCAACTCTTCATCAAAATTTGCTGACATTGATTTCCTGGCTTAATATAGTGATTAATCCATTTTTCAGTGTGGATAGAGGATAGATTTTGGACAGATGAATTAACTGTGGAAGCTAGATGAAATAGTGATAATGTCATTTAAAAATAAGGAATAAAGAAAAAATTTCTTTGTTGGCTATAAACCCTATGGTAGTCATGGTGCTAAACACTACACAATATTTAATCAGTCCTTACAGTCTTCAAAATAAAGTAGTTTTGTTCACATACTACAGACACTGAAGATAAGTAAAGGAACCCAAATCCTAAATACAGTTACTGAGTAATGAGTGAGTCTCATGTCAACAAGCCACTGCTTTATCATGGCACCGTGTTTCCTCAGCGAATTTGGGCATATTTCTTTTCTTTCATTCTTTTCCCTTCAGGTATATATTAGCCCAAATTAGGTGAAGTCAAAATTTGTCATCCATGCACTCCCCCCTTCCCCAATTTATCTAGTGTAAAGGTTGTAATGGTTGAGTGAATGTATGGTCCATCATATTTTTGGATCACAATCATGACACATTATTTTGATATAGCTATTGGATGTCCAGGAAATCTTTATGCTCAGGACCTGGTAAACAGCTTGCTTGGCTAAAATCATTAAAGCATGAGGGAGAAGATTTGGTTGTAAGAGGTTTTCTCACCAGTGGCTAACCCCAGAAAAGGGCAGAGGCTGCTGATAGAGTGTCTTGGACTCCATCCTGCCCTTCTGAACTCAAGCCCCAGAGTTAGGAGTGCTAATACTTCTTTTTGTACTCCCAGATTCTTCACAATAGGTCTGGAATTTTGATCACCTGCTCAGATTTGTCCTAAGGGCATGTTTCCTAGACCCTCATGCCCATGACCTTGAAGATATTAGAATAGTTTTCACTTTTATTTCCATAAAAGACATAAAAATGTCTTTCACCACCTTTTAGAAATGTATTTGTGAGTTGTTTGCAATATAGGGAAGTTCTCCCAGGAGCCCCCAATGATTTTTTGATGGAGATATGGATGCAAAATGGCAAGATTATTGGAACTTCGGCTCTCTGTGATTGTGTTTTGACAAGGAGGTAACAAGAGGCTGGATTGTGGTGAACGCCCAGGGAAGTGTACAGATGGACTCGTTATGACCACATCCTGCCAGGGTCCCCATGTGCAGTGCCATGTGTGTGAGTATTTTAAGGATCCTCTGAGTTCTATACTGTTTGAGAGAGGGATCTGTGACCAAACCAAACCCAAATCACATTTTCATTCAACACAAAAACTTACTGTAGAATAAACAAAAACATTGCAGGGACAGTGTTTTTAATTTTGAAGTCAAAAAGAGCTAAAAGGTTTTCTCTGCTTTGTGTTTGGTCCTTCTAAGAGTCATTCCACCAAGTAATACTAATTTAGACCAAGGGAGAGAGGCTGGAGAGTTAATATTTATACATTGCCCTATACCAAGTACTCTACACGTATTGTACACTTTGTATATGATAGGTATTTATTACTCTTCTGTTCTATATAGTAAGAAACTGAGGCTGTAAGGGATTAAGTGTCACAGAGGTGCTAATTGGCATAGCTGCACACTGCAGTCTAGGTGTGATTGCAGTACCTGTCATAATGGTGCTCTTCAACGTGGTAACCATTAGCCATCACAGCTCTTTTAACTCAAATTAAAATATAATTAAAAATTCAACTCCTTAATAAAGCTAGCCACATTTAAAGTGCTCATTAGCTAAATGTGGCTGGTAAGGAACACTAGAGATATAGAATACTTTTTTACCATCAAAAAACATTCTATTGGGGCCGGGGATTTAGCTCAGTGGCGCTGTGCCTGCCTCGCAAGCCCAAGGTCCCAAGTTCGATCCCTGGTACCAAAAAAACCCAACAACAAACAAAAACCGAAAACCAAAAACGTTCTATTGGATAGAGCCTCTCTATAACCAAATGATAATTATACTTATTATATATATAATAACCAATTGATTATTTTTCCTTGGCATAAGTATTTGTGAAAAATAATAGTACTAAAACTTTTATACTTCAGTGGAGATTGATGAGAGTAAAGGGAAAGATGGAATGTAAGATTTCATGTTTTAAAGATTTCATATACGTGGAAGATGGTTTTTTTTTTTTTTTTTGGTACAGGGGATCGAACTCTGGACCTTGCGCTTGTGAGGCAGGCAGTGGCACCACTGAGCTAATCCCTGGCCCTACATGGAAGATTTTCAACAAATAGTCTGTTGCAAGTATATGTCTATAGCATTAACTAAACCAGTAAATGCGGTAATACTCTGTAATTGTCTATTACTTCTTATTTGGTGGGCACTTTTCTAAACTTGATACACATTTAAATCCATTTGGTCCTCAACATAATTCTGTGAAGTACATGCCATTTTGATTTCCGTATTATGGATGAGTAAACTGAGGCTTAGTGAGATTAACTTTGTAAGGCTATCCACATAAGGAAAAGTGAATCATGTTGCACTCAACTTGGCTTCAGATATTGGGAGCATAACTGGTATTTTTATATATATATATACACATATATATATATACATATATACATATATATATACACATATATATATGTATATATGTATATATATATATATTTTTTGTACCAGGAATCAAACTCAGGACCTTGTGCTTGCCAGGCATGGTGCCACTGAGCTACATCCCCATCCCCAAACAAGTATATTTAGGTTTACTCAGGAGAAAATTCTGAGAGTGAGTTGCTGATGAGAAATGGAGTTAAAAAAAGAAATATACTCTTGAAAAACATAATTTTGTACCTATAAAATCCATATTATATATCTAGATATTCATACAATTTATGCACCTATATATTTACAAACATCTGTGTATATCCATTTATGAGACCAAGTCAGATGTAGTGTTGTTAATGACAAATAAATGAGATAGAAAGGAGAGGATCCTATAACTGCAGAAGGACGAATGTTATATAATTCATTCTGGTAAGATTTCCCTGCTTTCTTCAACCACAAGTGAAGGAGAGAAACATCAATTAAGGGCATATCCTAAATGGGTTAATCTTAATCCTTCTGTAGCTTTTTCAAGTTTGTGAAATAGATTTAAAATTTCTGCAAATGTTATGGGAAAATTCTGGGTCAAGGACTTTGGGTTTACTGTAATTTGTAAGCTCAGAAGTTAAATTCCTGTTGCTCTCTCTCTCCATAATTTGTGCACTTGGAAGTAAAAATTCTTTTGTAATCTGCTTATCTAATGCATTCCCAAATGTTATTATTTTGCCCATCCATCTTAGTTAACCTCACAAAGAATAAGAGTGGCCCACAGCAAAAACTGTATCCATGTAGGGTCAGTGCTGTGTCTCTGTGAATAGCCTTATTGATTTCCTCCTGGCTGGGTGGTTTTGTCTTGTGGATAGAGCTTGTGTTTTAAGTAAATACAGAAGTACTTAGGAGGTGCTAGCTCTTATGTTTATAATTTTTAAATTAAGGGAATAATATGAAAAACTAAATTAAATTTACATCATTTGCAAAGTTCTTTAGTTCTCAAGTGGAAACAATTTAAAATTCAGTTTATTTTGTAATATTTTAGCTAATGAGTGATTAAAAAAGGCTTTAGTATGAGAAACAGGACTTTTTTAAAAAGTGGAAATACAATTAGTATTTTACAATTTAGTGTTTTAATTTGGTATGATTTTCTAAATTAAGCTCTTAGCCATGAACATAAAAATCTCATGGTCATTTTGAGGATATCAAGGGTTATTTATCTTAATAGATTGGCATGTGATGTGTAACTCATCCCTATAATGATTGTTATCTGAAAAATTATCCTAACTTTGTAGTGTTATAATCTTACCTATTTTTCCCATGAGTGTGTCCACTTTAAATATTTATAAACAATGGAAAATTGTTTACTGCAGAGTAATATAGAACAGAAAATATTTGCTTTATAGTTATTCATACAATTATCTATTTTCTACCAAGAAGATAGAGGATGCACTGAATAATACTGAATGTGATGCTATGTATTCTTTTTTTTTCTATTTGAGCAGTAATTTCAGGATTGCAAACAACTTTGGAGCTCTGAAAGCTTTGGTGGGCTGACCCAGTACTACCCAGAGGCTGCAATAGTTGGAACTTGAACCCTGTTCTCTCTCTCCAGGCGCTGTCAACCATCCAAGCCTTTGGTTCAGTTTTTGACCTGATTTTGGACACACCAAATCTTGATTTAATAAACACTTAAACCATTTGAGAATGGATTGCCGTCTTGCTTTGTTAGCTACTACAATCAAATAGGTACTAAGTTGCCTATGTGTGTTATCCATCTAGTACTATGAACATACAAAACCACAGACGTAAAAGGGACCTTAGAGATGATCTAGTTCAATCTCCAGGGCTGAATGAGTGTTATAGGGCCACACAGCTAGTCAGCATCAGATTCGATTCCCAGTTCCAGATGGCTTGACCTCAAGTCTGGTCTTCTTATTTCTGTGTTATTTCCAGGGCAGTATATATTTCCGGGGGCGGTGTGTGTGGGGGGGTGTAGTCAGGTGTTCAAACAAGGATCCAAACATTGTTGAGGCCTATTGACTCTTGTTCCAGTTCCCTTATGGGTGGTTGGGACATTGACAAGGCATAAATATTTGCCAAAGAATCATGAATAAGCTCAGCTGGGAATAAACTTTGATATGCAAATGACAGAAGTGGTTATAAACACGAAAAAAGTTTCTTTCCTTTTGTTTCTTTGAAAATTTTAAAAATAAGTGATATAACACATGGAGTTGGGCAAGCCATTTAAGAAAAATAGCATTCTCCACAGCTTCTCTTTGTTTTGGAAATACTGCATTCAAACTGAGACTTTGATAATTTCTGCAAAGAATAATGGCAAGAGGAAAGAAGCTTGCTTGCCCACAGTAACTTCCAGACAAATGAAAACCCGGGCTGTGTCCTGAGAGTTTTAGGTAATCCAGGCTCATAATTTGATTTGAGAAGAGCTACTCCAGGCTACTGTGTAATTATAGAAGCATTCGCTCGGCTGGCTCCTGTTCGCCTCGTCACGTTCTACTTCATTGCCCTTTATACTAAAGCCCCTGTTGATGAGAGGGCGGAAACAGTAAGTACAAATAAAGCAATTAGCAGGTGGGGAATGCTACCACTGTTTAAGGATAACATACAATCTTTATTGGTACTTATTAAGTAGAAGTCTAGAGCTTAGAGACAAAGGGAAATATTGCAAGCCACAAAAATGAGAAGGAGTGTGGGAACAAAAAGAATAAGGGGGAAATTAGACAACGTATCTATTTAATATTTCAGAATCTAATCCCAAAGACTAGTTTTAAAAATAATATTAAACCTCTGTCTTGTTTGTATTGTAACGAGTTACATTCTCAAGTAAAATTTGCTTTTTAAAAAGAGTTTTCTTCCTTTTTCTGTTCTCTTTTATCATGTGAGTTAACTTGAAAAATATTTTTAACAGTTATTACTGTGTTCAAGTGAGTTTGAGTTTGGGTTGTAGTTAAACCACCAGCAGGGGGAGTTAGGATAATTAGCAAACCTTCTTGGTGAGGTCCTGACATTTACAGCATAGATTCATAGACCCTGTTGGCAGAATGGAAAATGCCCACGGTGGATAAGGAATATAATGGGTGAAAGGAGGAAATCAAGAGGACTTCAAGTGTTCTTGAAACCCTAGCACAGCTATTGAAAGTGGGCAAGAAAATAGGGCAAAGGCTTTCTGTGTCCATTTGCAGAGAATTCCAGGCACTCTGGCTCTTGGTTTACTTATCTGAAAACAGGGATAGCAAAAAATGATCCATTCAGAATGTTAAAATCGTTGTATCTCCGTGGATGGCATTGATCAGCTTGCTCTAACCTCATTTTGTGCGTCCAAGTAGTGAGGTAGGGTATAAACAATTGGATTCCTCTCAGAGTAGCCCAATGAGGTGCCCTGCATCTGGTTTTGGCAGTGTTCTCTTGTCTTGGGATGTCTTACTAATTAAAGCTCTGCTGGCCAGTTCAGCTACCTAAGCAGGATATATTTTTCAACTTGAGTAGTGGATTTCTAATTGCCCAGTGTAGAGGAAAAGAATGGAAGTTGGAAGAAAGAATTAGTACATTTTGCCTTTGACTCAGAGAATGGTGGCGACTTAGAGATGGTGGGAAGGTACTGTGGCAGAGATGTGTATAGCTTTCTATAAATGTAACATTTTTATAGTAGTGGTGGCTTGCATGATAGCTCATTCATTGATATGGAAACATTAAATCCTTATCATCCTAAGAAAATTATGCTTTCTTTCAGGAGATAGGTTTTTCATCTTCCTCTTTCCTATTCTCTCATCAACTAGCAGCCACTTGAGATAAATGCAGAAGATGGAAAGTAAAATCTCTTGGGCAATGATACTGAAGAAATGTTTATTTCATCCTTTGGCAGAAACTGCAGCACCAGGATAGGGCAGGGCATTATCTCAGAAAGACTAAAGACCAAAAAACAGAGGGCCAAGCCTTTCTAAACTTCATTCAAGGGAGGTGGCTCAGTAGGAAAGCAGGGAAAGAGAACATGGTGAAATACACAGCGCTCACCTCCCAACACCTTTGTTACCATTTAACAGGGCTAGTAAATATTAGAGTATGTATATCATACATTTTCTTTGGAAAAGTGTACATTTTGTGTTCAAAGTGGTTGTTTGAGGATCACCTTTATGCTTGTGAAATTTTATTATTATACTAACATTGGATGTGCAAAACTATGAAAATTCCCAAATGATTACTACTAAGCTAAAATTTCATAAATGTACAGAATTCCCACCACCTGTGTATTCTTTCTCACTTCCAGCATCATCTTCATCATCATCAACATCATCACCGCCATCCCCTGAACTTGTTGTAGTTCTTTCTAGTTCTGTAGGTATTTTTACATCCACAAACTCAATTCTTCTCAACAATTTTGTGTATTATACAGGTTAGATAATATCATAGGATTTTTAAAAATAGTTCTTTTATTAGTCCATTTTTGGAGTATATAATGATTATATTCTCATGGGGAGTTGGTATATGGACATGACACATCTTAATGGTTTTGCAGATGAAGAAATAGACATCAAGAAGCTCTGTGAACAGCAGAAGGTGGCAGTTGGGAACAGTCTCCCAGTGTCTAGGTCAGTACGAATCATTGCCGGTCTCTACCTGTTACTGGTTTAGAGATGCACGTGCAAGAAACTAGAATTTGTTTCAGTAATTACCCCAGCTCTTAGGAATTAGTACTTTGTCAAAAAATGAATAAAGCAAAAAATTCACACATCCTCTTGTGAGTGGGATCTGGGTGTCTTGGTATTTTAGAAATGTGACAAGTGGCAGAACAGGATACAAAGAATGTGATTCATCTTTTTGCCACCTACTTTCTTACTTCCATGTGTATCAGGTTAAAAAAATAAAGCATTGGGCAAACCCAGATGGCTGTGGTTGAACAGAAGGGTGGGTGACTCTCACTGGTTAAATGGATGAGCAGGACTGCAAATGCAACCCCTAGCACTGCCTCTCTTCTCTAAGGGTTCACCTTCCTCCAGGGTGCAAGGACTTGATGGTGTTTTGAATCTGTCAGGAATTTTTCTGCTTTGGCAAACTCAGAGGTAACCATTTCTACTGTCCAATTTGTCTCTTCAGTCTCAACTCCTAAAAAAGTTCTTTTTCTTCTACCTAGTGAAATGTAGTTGGCAGTTAATCAGTGAAATTTATATTGATGGCAAAACTTTTCAAGAACATTCCCATTGGCGTTTTGAAGGATTTTGCTTTTAGAGCAAGCACTTCAGCCTCCAGTATTTTTAAAGGTCTGAAGCAGTTAGAAAACAAGTGACTACTGCAGATTTTTCCTAATAAAGGAAAACGTGGTTTCTATTTGATTGTGAATATAATCACAGATACCCCCAGTCTTCCTCAATCATAGATTGTCCAGCTCACAATTTCTCACCTGGATGCCTTTTGGGCTCTTGTCCTCCTGATGGTAGTCTGAAGCCTCTTGGAGCCTGGCCTGGAGGAAGCCTAAGTGAATTATCTCCTTACAGATAATCAGTTGCGCACCATCAGTGATGATCGATGCTTCCATGTTGCCGGGAGGGAGTTGCCACATTGGATGACATCTGATACTCCTGCAGGAAATGTTGGGCATCCTATTCCAAAGTGTCCTCCAAGCCAATAGCCAATTCCTCTTGTCTACTCAGAAAGCATGCTTCCTGTCATAGTGGGTGATATGCCCAATACCTGAAAATGTATAACAAGGACAATAAGAAGCATATTTTAAATTCACAACTAAAATACTCTCTGAAGTGTAAACTTGGTTTTGACAGCATAGTATGGAAATAGCATGGCTCTCTATTTACTATGTGCATTTGACCACCAGTGGGCCTGATGGCAGATAAGATGATGGCTCCCATCGCTCTGTGGAAGGCAGTTCCTCCTGGCAGTTCAGGTCTGTTTCTGACTACGCAAGTTGTTCCTTTGGATCCTGTTGCAAGGTGATTTCTGATGGTGGGCACAGGACATCTTTTTCTCTGCTTGGCTATGTGTCTGTCTTGTCATCGGCCGCTCAGAGACTCCAGGTTGGAGGTCTACATAAGTTAGAACCTCACCAGCCTTTCTAAACCAGATGTAAAGTACACACCCCAACTGGCTTATAAAAGAAGTACATCTAATCACATAATGCCTCTATAATGTGGTTTTTTAAATTAAGTGACCCACAGGATATTAATCTGGTGGTAACAACTCCCAACGGATGTAGCATTGGCAAACACTTCAAGAGCAGCTAGAACTACCATTAAATGTGATGTTCATTTCATCTGAACATATGGAAATCAAAACAAGCCATGGGAGAACTGCAGCGCTCTGTACATGCTATACTGTTCATAAACCTGTCATAAATAAGTGCCTCTTTAAAAGAAACCAATTAATAAATGTGCATTGAATTACAAAGTTTAAATATTCCTTAATATGGGATCTCTTTCCCTGCCCCCGCTACCCCAATTCCCACTCCTGCCAGGGGCCCCTTGTTATTCAAGCTGTTATAACATTTTCCACTGTGGGGCACATCTCTGTTTTGTTGTTGTTGATTGAGTTATTTGGTTGGCCTGGCAGCTTAAAAAAAAAAGAGGAAGAAAAAATCTGTAAGCTATAAAATGCATCTTCTTTCTTCCTTTGTCTGTGTATTAGCGTCTGGCTCGGCACTGAAACCCCACCCCAAACCTCCCACCAAGAATATGTCATATTTCTATGTGCTCATGCATGTTTAGGTCTACCTCTTTTGAAATGATGCCCAAAACTTAGCAATGTTTACATAAGTAAAAGGGAGTTTCACTTTTATGCTGTAATTTCTGCATGGAGCTGAGAGTTTTCCTAGCCATACCTTGTACTTTGTTCCTAGGTGAACTTCTATTTTTCTAATGTGATGGTTTTATCCAGCTTTGACAACAGATTTCTTTAGGAGATTACACACCTGGAATTAACTTTTTCTGCCAAGAATTACTGTGCACCTGGAAGCACTAAATCATTTTTATCTATGTTTTTGAAACTTTTCATAGTGAAATTGCATCTCTTGAACTTGACTTGTTTCTTGAGGAGAAGTTGAAGGAGTAGTTGGGTAGGTGTGTATATGCTGGTGTTATGAAATAAACATATCCAGGGCGTGTTACTCACTGCCTGAACACCATCTCCCTGAGTAGCTCACTTCTTAAATGACTCTGCTTACCGCATAACATATGGAAATGTGAGTCTGCACTTTAAGCAGATCATTTGCCATGTTTACACCAGTTCTCACACTAATCCCCATTAATGTTTGATATAGTCCCCAACAGGTTGAAGTGGATGTCAGACACCATATCTCTTGTGTACATGTTGGGCATGATATCCATTTAAACAACAAGAATGATAAAGAAGAGTTTTTAGGGATTTCCTTTCTTAACATATGTCTGCTAAGTAGACTCAGTATTCTGAGAATGTGAAATACTTTCTATGAGTGTGAAAGCCACCAAAACAAAACATGGATTAATTAAAAAAATTATGTGGAGAGTTTATTGTAAAGTCCAGTTATAGTGTTCTGTTTGGAGATCTATGACATTTTTGTTTTTTGTGAAATTGGTGATAAGGTCTTGTGAGGTTACAACTGAAGTATATCCTCAAGAGATTTAGAATTAAGAGTCAGAAAACAGTTTATAAACTCACATTAACACATTAGAAAGAATACTGTGTGTTAGAAATTACTTACATGACTTCTTTGGTGGTGGTGGGGTATATGACATTTAGAGAGGAAAAATTCCTTTCAAGTTCTGCTATCAGCATTAGATCTCCTGTTTTTACCAAGAAACCTGAATATGTTCTCATTTTCTTGACACAAAGTCATATGGGTAGAACAACAAATGCTTTCTGTCCCTTGGCATCCTAGCCTTGCTGTGTTGGATTGTACTCAAAGTTTGCCAAACTGGTTCTGTTTATTCTTGTCAGGTACGGATAATTTCTTCTCTTGGTTGTCTCTGACATAGCGTCAGCATCTTAAAGGCCAAAGTTCCCATAGAGTCAAATCACATGAGTATAAACACTTATTCTACTTAGAGGAAAACTCTGTAAGATTAAGAAAAGGATTAGAAAAATTATGGATAAACCAACACATTCATTTCAAGGATATCTTTAGGCAACATAAGAATGATATTGTCAGTGATAATGCAAATGATTTTTAATAAAATCCATTGCGTGTCATACGACTGCATCAAAATTTAGGGAGAAGTTTGTCTTATGTGGGGTCTGCTAACTAACTGGAGTTTTTTTCCACATCATTATTTGTTTAATGTTGGTTTTGGGGAACTTTCTGAAACAAATCACATCCTCTGATGTCTTGTTGGTGCTTGAGATGCTTTTTAAAGTTATATGGAAAAATGTTTAAGTGCTTTTCAGTTTTGTTTTGGTTGAGTTCTACTGTATATGAATATTATTGTAGTTTTTTCCCCTTGCATTGTTCTTCTCTGAATGGTTTTAATTTTTTGTATGTATGTTAGTTTGACAAGTTATTTAATTAAAAAATAAAAAAGAAAGAAAGACAAAATATATAGATACATTAAAATATATCTGCTTTAAATTCAGATACATATAACTCAATTTTTCCAATTACTGTTTTCTGTCATTGTGGTTTACTTTCACATGAATGTGGCTAAATTCTGCCCCAAGTATAGATAAACTCATTAAGTCCTTTAAGTAGTTCAAATTTCCTGATAACCAGCAGTCAAACTGGGGAACAAGCAGAATTAGTAGCCAAGTCTAATAAACGACTGGGAAAAATTGTATCTGTCTCATCCTTCTGGTTCCCACACACTCTGGTTACATCATTACTTAGCCTGTGAATTTGGGGGCCAATGGAGCACCAGAGCCTGGGTCAGGTGACCAAAACATCAAAATGTGTCTGAAACTTTACCCTCAAGATGGGGTTTCAGCGGGGGCCTCAGGATAGCCGACTCCTCCGTGGCTGCTGTGCAATTTTCGTATTTTATTTCACCTTTGCTTTCAAGCTTAGCTTTTGGTCCCACAGATTGATCGCCAAAGCAAACTGGTTGATGTGGGTTTTTCTGTGCAGGTGCGTGGGCAAAATTATTTCTTGTATCACATACTGCGCCTGGTTACATAACAGCAAAAAACCCAAATGACACAAAACAAAAATAGGAAAAGGAAAACTAGGCCTTTCTTATAAAATGGGTTTCATCAGCAGAGAGAATTTTAACCGGTTGCTTTGCCTTTTATCTTTTTTGGGGAGGAGGGGTTGTTTTTGAAAAGTGTTTTGGGTTTTATTTTATTAAAAAATGTCTAAATCCGCAAAGCTCAAAAGCCCAGTTTGTCAGGTCTTGAGGGTGCAACTCCCCAAGCTGAGGCTGAAATGCTGCGCGCCTCTTAAAGGAACGGAATGTGTAACCGTATCGCCTCACTAAGCTTTCACAGGGCAAGGGTAGTGATGACAACAACCACTTGTTTGCTGCAGATGTAGAAAGGCATTTTTTTACATGTGCAGGAAGCAACAAAAAACCTGGTCTTAGGGGACAGGTGAGTGAGCTGCAGTGCAAGAAATAAACCAAATAATCCTTAAAGTTGCAGTAACACAAAAGGAGCCCCACGTTTGACACCTTTCTACACAAACCTATTTTTGTGTCCAGGTTTACCTTTTCTGCGACTGTTGTGATCGTTATGACTGAACATTTGTTCTGAATTCTCTCCAGGGGAAAGTCCACCTGAAGTGTCAAATTCATTGGAAAGCAGCCTTGATGAGCTGCTATTAGGCATTCAAGGAAAACTTCAGAAAGCAGAGGGGATATACTAAGAAGGAGTACACTTAGGTGAAAGTTAATTTTGTAAGCCAAACAAAAAAATTAGCCCTTGTTCATGGATGAAAGGATTACGTGTGTGTGTGTGTGTGTGTGTGTGTGTGTGTGTGTTTGTTGTTTTGAGACAGAGTCTTGCTATATACTCCAGGCTTGCCTTGAACTCCTTACAGAGTCCAGGCTGGCCTCGAACTCTTGGCAATCCTCCTGCCTCAGCCTCCCAAGGATTCTGTGTGAAATACATCCCATGATTTATACAACTAACATTAATATATAGTAATTATTATACTAAATGATAGGGATACCAAGAAGGTATGATGGGGTCATGATGATGATGCTATCAGCCAGCATTTATCTAATGCTCATTATATACTAACTAGGTGCTCTACAACATTCCTCCCTATCCTTCCATGTATCTAGAAAGGTGATTATTATCCCTCTTTTACAGATGGATAAAATGAGGACCAGAGAAGTTACAAGATTTGCTCAAGATCATGGAACTGTTAAGTGGTGGCCCACAGAGATAGGAGTCCAGCTGATAGCTGATTTCCTCTAGAACCTCTCCTCTCAGCAGTTCACCCGCATCGTCTAGAGATTCAGTTCTTTTCTTTGTTCTTACAGAGTTTTTGATCTTGTGGTAGAATAAAGCAGGTGAAGAAACACATGAAATTACACATGTTAAAAAATCTGCAGGAGTAAGTGCTGGGGAGAGTCAAACTTGCAGGGAAGAAATGGTTTGGGCCAGAACATTTCCTAGGAGCCTGTGTCTATTCTATGGCAGTGAAGAGTGGGTGGGAGATCATTGCTCAGTTATCTTTTCCTCTGCAGGAAATCCCTTGGAAATAAATGATTTCTGGTTTTATTCTGCAAAACGATCATGGAAAGTGCTGTGTAAGACGGAGCAAACTCCTGTCCCCATGGGTGCCTGCCAAATAAAGTAACTAGGTGCTCAGATATTTTCCAGTACAAGTGCTTCATTATTAATTCATGGTCCAGGTCTTCAGTACATGCTGTTACTAATATTGGGTTTCAGCAGAGAATAATGAACAGCAGCACTGGTCTGAATGTCTTAACATTTTTTAAACAGTGTTTGCAGTGCTAAGTTCTATTTCTGGCTTAATTGGGATCTTTACATAAATAAGAGGAGGGCTCTACAGGGCCGGGGGAGGCATAATTGTCCCACAGCTTAGCAACAGCAGAGGTGAGAGTCAGCCTGATTCAGAACTGGAGGAAGGTGAATGCCAGTGGGGATGTTTCCCCTTTAGGTCTGGGCTTGTTTGTTCTGGTGTCAAAGCAGAAAAGTGGAGCAGGGATTTAGCTCAGTGTTTCCCCTGCCTGCCTCACAAGTGCAGGGTCCCAAGTCGATCCCCAGTACCAAAAACCAAACCAAACCAAAACAAAACAAAAGCAGAAAAGGAGAGGTCTCCTGAGTGAGATTCCAGCTACAAAGCCTGGATCAGCTCCTGGCTCTGAAACTTCATCCCATAAGGAAAGGAGGGCAGGGGAGAACTTGCTCTAGTAGGGAAATGGCCTCATTCAAGGAGCCCCCAAAGTGGGCTGACTCCTCCATCAGGCACCACAGACAGTGTCTACGGGATCCACGGTACTTTTAATGTTTAAAAGTGAATAACATTTACAGCAATAAAAGTGAATTGAATAATATCAAATGTACGATATTGAATCCAGCCGGGGTTATATTCAGCAGCTAAAGTATAATATCTGATTATTTTTTAGAGGAAGCAATGATGACAAAAATGCCTGAATCCCATGAGAGTAATCATGTGGTCCTGCCCAAAAGGGCTGCTTACCAACTGGCTTGGGGAGGGGGTGGCTACACAAGTTAAATGACTTCACTAGACACCATAATTTTCCTTGCTATTGTTTTCTTACAGTAGATCTTAGTGACAGGAGCCTTTGAAGGGAAAACATAATAAAAAAAAACTATATTGGTTAACAAGAATATGAAGCTCACATTCCTTCGAGGTTCCCAAGAATGCCTTGCCCTGCACAGAGTTAGCATTCATTTGGTTGAAATCGATTTAAAGAAAAAGCACATTGATATATATATTCACTAATACAAGAACTGCTTACTGTGCACTGGCTGTGTGTGAGGCACCGGGTGTTAGGTACATCACAGGAAATAGGACAGACATTCTCTCTGAACTCAGAGAGCTTCAAAGAGCAAGGGGAAGAGACATAAAAAGGACATATTTAAAAAAATAAAGACTGCTTTGTGATTTTTTTCAGAGAATTGCTGGAACTCAGCTGATTGGGCTGAGGGACCGTCCAAACACAGAGCGAGTTAGCGTTGTCTCTGACAGGGTTACTTAGTGCCACGGTTGGGCAGCTTTCTCTTTGTTATTGATGAGTCTACTAGGGTTCATGCTCAATTTGACATTTATCTAATAGAAGAATAACTTTTAATAGGTGTTCCTGAATCACTTTAGGTAAGCACCAAGCTCTATTCATTCAGGTTCTCATGATGGAACTTCTAGGCAATGTGTGAGTCTTGCCTGTCCGTGTATGTAGCAGACACTGATTGAGTGTCTACTATGTACCAGGCTCTGTGCTGTCTTTCTGGTTTACAGGGAGGAGGGAAACAGGTAACAGACTCTCCTCGTGGGGTTTTTTACAGTTTTACATTTGTCCATTTTAACAGTGGACAAGGTAACAGCAGTTTTCTGTGCCACCCCAGTGGATATCTTTTATTCTGTCTTTTGGTAACAGCAACTCAATTTCCCTTGGCAGATGGTTTTATATAGGTCAAGAGATCCTGCCTTTCTCTAGCCAGGATGTGGGTTTTACCCAAGCTTAACAAATTAAAATATCTTTCTTGGAGTTTTGAGGGACTAGATCTTGATTTCATGGACATGTGACTGGATTCTGAAAAAAGGGTAGTCATTGATGTCACATAATTGTTAAGAGCCATAATGAACTAGACTTGTGAATTAAGGATAACTCTTGTTTTAGCTTGCAATTGATAGAGCTGAGTTATGGAACTATGTTGACTGTGAATCCCTTTCTCCTGGTGCTACCTTTTTAGAAAAAAAAGAAGAAAGAGAAAGAACAAGAGATCATCAAAAAGAAGAATTGAAGCACAGGGTTGTGGTGGTTGGATCAGCACAGTATAATGGAAAGAACTTGAGAGATGTACAGACTTGGTTCCCAAATAAAGCTTTATCACCTGCTAGTTGTGTGCTTGTCCACAGTTGCCTCAAGTGTGAACCTGGACGTGTAACACTGGCTTCATGCCGATAGCCCCTGCTGTCTTCCTGATAAGTATATTGGCAGATTGGGTAGAAATTTTAAAATAATGTACAAAAATATTCAATAACGACTCTGGGGAAAGGGAGGAAATAGAGTTGGAAGGCAATTCAGTGACTGCTCTGCCACTTCCTCTCTTCGCATAATGTAGGCTTAGAGTGATGTGTAGACCGGAAATTCATCAGCAGCCTAGGTCTGTGGCTTGTGAACTCTGTCTGGCATGAACACTTCTGTTTCAGCACATCTGTGATTGCCATATCACCAGCATTTGCAGAATGGAGGATTAATTTTATTGTGCATTGGCTCAGCAGATCTGGTGACATAATATTGCACTACGAAGAAGGATTACTCACCAGTTTCTGGATGCTACATTTTTAGAAACTAACTCCACTTAACGATAAGTGTTGGATCTAACAACTTCCCCCTTCTCCCCACTCCCACTCCTCCAATCACCCAACTAACAAATATCCCTTAATGCAAAAACCAGCTCTCTTGGGACCAGATGGATACAATTTTTCTTCAGGATAAAACTCTGGATATTCTTCCAAAGTAAAGGTTTTATTATACTTCGTCACTTATTAAAAACAGATGTGCCATGTTTATCATATGTCCTCAAGAACTTTTTTCTTTGCTGGTTTGATGGAAAGCAGTTTGTGTAAGGCAAAATAATATAGCGTTTGTGAGTCATTTCTGAAGGAAAAAATAGGCAAACGACATCGTCTGTAAGCCAGGCAGGGAGCATGGTGACATTCCAGGGCAAACAAAGAGGAGACCTCGTTTCTATTCCTGTCATGCGCCCACTCGGGGGTTTGAAGTATCTTCTTTTCACCTGCGACCTCCATCTGCAGGAAAAGGGACCCGGAGAAACGCTGTCATGGAGGGGCACCGTCTGGCAGCACCTGGCCACTCGCTACCTCCTCTGTTTCCCTGCCTGACACTGACCCAGAGCCACTTCCCTTGAGGGGGTGTTTTGTTTGCCTTTCCTCCTCTAGATATCTCACAGCATCTTCTTCTCTCTGCCCAAAGTAGGACACTTTGAAAAGGATTTCTTCCCTTCTCTAGAGCTTCTCCATTGCCCACTCTCCCGTCGCCTCTACTTGCTGGTGGCAAGCCAGCTGGCGCCTCCTGTGTCACTCGGCTGGCCCTGTTTCATGTTCATGCAGTGTGCAGAGTGGAGCGACTAGGGTGCTATGGATGGGCCTGAAAATGAAACGTGTATCTGTGCACACATGTGCCCTGTATTGAATGCTCATTGTATGCCAGGCACTGCTTTTGTTGAGACCTGCATTTAAACCCTGCTCAGCCATTTGTAGAAATATGTAAGCTTGTAAATAGGCAATATTCATACTTGTCTGGCTAATTTATGTGTTATCTATTTATATAGTTCCAAAAAATGTTTTATCTTTTACACAGCTCGGAAAGATTATTAAAAATATTTTGAAAAAGTATTCTACCAGTGTTCTTTGTATTTGAAGCTCACAGGACCAAGCTGGATATTTTTTGTGACATTATCTGCCCTTTGGAGAGACTGAGTCCAACATCTTGCAAAAGTCTTCCCTCAGTCCTTCACTGATGAGTAGCGTAAATGACTGATTGTCTCTATTACATGACCATGGCAGACATGGAGAAAAATCTAACTCATTTTCGCAAAACTTATCCTAATTGGCACTATAAAATCAAAAATTGATGAAATGCTTCAAAAACTTACCTGGAGATCTGGATTTGGTGTCTTTTCAAGTTTTGGTAAAATAAGTGGTACCTTCTTTGTGCTTGTATTTTCTTCTCTTCCAAAAGGGGGGTTGGTGAGGAAGCATAGAAAATTGAAAGCTGCAGTATTTCTTCTTGCACAAACCTCCCTTCCTTCTTTCCCTATAGCAGAAAGTGACCCAGGCTGCTGGGCTGGTTCAGGGGGTTATGCATAGATGGTCCTTATCACCTGTGCTTTTTAAAGAGGAAGGGAAAAGTGTAGCTGCAAACACCCTGGAGGAAAGAATTTCTTCCAGAGCAGCCAGGGCCCGTTTCATCTTCACCTGAAGGCAGCCCTCACCCAATTTAATGCTTCATTTAGCTCACCATTAGTGGAAAAAGCCTCCCCAGACCTGCTCAAAATGACCCTGGGGCTCCACAAAAAAGACTGAGAGGGAGGGTTACCGGCTCTCACTTCCCTGTTTAGAGCCCCTTCTTAAAGCAAAGCACAAATGTGGATCTGGAGCCAAATGAGGAGGTTGAGGAGGGCGAGCTTTAAATGACAGAGAAGTGCTTTCTCCAAAGCTTTGGGTCCTACCGCCCAGAGACAGGAGAGAGCCCAGGGTACAGTTGCAGGAACTCACGAAGGAAAGATAGAGGGAGGAAGAAAAACTATGGAGAAGACACTGTATCAGGGTTTTGGGCATTATGTCAGCTAATCTTCACAATGCCATTAATACTTTTATTATTCAATCTCAGTTTTATAGTGAAGCAGATATACTCCCAGGTTTGGTAATTTCTCTGAAGAAGCACACTACTAAGAGCAGAAACAATATCTGAAGCCAGGTTGTCTATCTGTCTTTCCTGCTACCCCTTTCAGGAGTGTTTTGGGATCAGCATTGATTCCAGCACCTCCTATTAAAACCAGGCCCCAGATTTAGTGGTATTATTCTGAATTGAAAATTCTCACAACCATGAAGGGCACCAATCATAATGTACAAATATTTTTAACATGAAGATATTTGAAAATAGA